AGATGTACTAGGATAAAATTTCTTTTGTGGTACAGCTTTTGGGTTTTCCTTGAGTTAATTATTACTTTGTATTTTTTCTGTGTGCCTAATTTTCCTTGTAGATCCTTATTTTTCCCTAGACACATGTCATTTTATCCACTTTATAATTTCCTGCTCCAACCTAGGTCTGTCATACAGCTCTCACCCTGTCTCTTCTAGACCATTTAGATTGGTCTATTTCCTGGATCCCATCCCCATCTTAGCTTATGCCTTCTTTTCCTATGTACCGTCTTTTAGTATCTTCCTAGGAAAGAGAACTTGGGGACTCCTACCTTTCTGCAGTTGCCTTAAGTTTGGTTGGTGGGAGTTGCCCTGAGATTGTTGCATACTGCCTCCTCTCCCCACTGAGAAGTTGCTGCCGTTGCTTCTCTTCTCTCTGGAATCTTTTCTTCTCCTGTGATCTAAAATTCCATGAGGACATGTCTTGGCATGGACCTGTTTTTATTCTTTGGTGAGGATATTTAGAAGGATGCTAGATCTTCAGTTCTGGCAAATTTTATTCGATAGCCTCTCCCTATTTTCTTTGTTCTAATTCTGGAGTTTCTTTTCTTTCTTTCTTTCTTTTTTTTTTTTTAAGATTTTATTTGTTTGTCAGAGAGAGTGAGCACAGGCAGGCAGAGTGGCAGGCAGAGGCAGAGGGAGAAGCAGGTTCCCTACGGAGCAAGGAGCCCGATGTGGGACTCAATCCCAGGATGCTGGGATCATGACCTGAGCCGAAGGCAGCCGCTTAACTGACTGAGCCACCCAAGAACCCCAATTCTGGAGTTTCTGTTGGTCAAATTTTGAACCCCTTCTGATGATCTTCTAAGTTTGTATTTTAGTTCCACTTTAGAGAAAAGATTTCTTTGATTTTTTTTTTCTAATCATTTAGTGGATATTTATTTTAGCTTTCATTTTCCATTTTATCCCCCAGATCTTTATTCTCTTATCTAAGAATGTGAATTTTGATTTTGGTTTTTAAAGAGTTTTCCTCTGTTCCTTTCATTCTGTTTCCTTGGGTTTCCCCCAGCCCCTCCCTGTTCATTTTGATCCCCCTTTCTCATGTCGAGCTGTATGGAAGTCAAGAACATGGACTGCTGGGTTTAACACCTGTTTCTACTGCTTACCTGCTGTTTGACCCTGGGCATGTTAATTTCTCTGTGCTATGTCATTTCTGTATAGACATGAGAAGAATATCTACCAAATATAGTTTCTGTCAACTTTAAGTGAGTTAATATATGTAAAATGCTTAGAACATTGCCTGCCATATGGTAAGAGTTTATACCTGTTTGGAATTATTTTGCTGGGGGGCTTTCCATAATGTCTGAGCCTTCGTGGTACATACTTGAGAGGTACTCAGATGCTGGCTGGAGGGGAGACATAGGTCGGACATGGGTAGGAAAGCCTCATTGCATGTTGGGTTTTACTCTGTGTTGAGAAGGTAGGAAGATTGTTTATCTGTCTTCCCTTTCTCCGTTCCAGTTTAGAAAGCATACATTAAGGCAGCTGGAAATACCTGAGAACTGTATATTTTCACATTGTTTCCTTTTTTGTAGCATCATTGGTATATAAAAAAGGACATTTCTGGTTCCATATGATTCTTTCTGGTACAAAAAGAATGAACTTAGTGTTCATAAACACATTTTAGGTAACAACATTCTGAGCAAACAGGTCATGTGTTCAGAAGACCAAAATGTTTTACCCTGACCTGTTTTTGATAATCTACACTATTAGTGGCCGGGGTAATGCATAGTAATTCAAATAATTGAATTATAAGTCAAATAATTGAAAAATAATTCAGACTTGGTTCAAGTCTTGGGATTATGTGTGGAACATACTGAGAGTTTTAAGAAAGGAGAACACATGTTAACAGTTAATACTGGTAAGGCCAAAAGTAAGTCATTACTGCTAGTACTTTTAAAGAAAGAATTGAAAACTGTGTACCTACCTTTCTTTTTTTTTTTTTTTTTCTTGGATAACAAATAGAATCACTGTCCTTAACTTCAGAGATATACTTCATAGAAGTCATCATGTCACCTCTACCATGTCAGCCTGCGAAGTATCACTGGGGTGCAGGCCGTATCAGCCTCCCGTTGTGTTTCATTACAGTCCCAGGCATTGAGGCTGATGACGTGGTGGAACCAACTCCAAACTTAGGAGGAAGACAGTTTACCAAAGCATGGAGAGGAAGCTTGCTCCGTGTTCTGTACACGTTAAAACAGGCAAACACTTGTTTTGTTTTGTTTTGTTTTTTATAAACAAAACACTTAATTCTCAATGTGTTTAATGTTTTAAATTCTAGTCCACCAAATAACTAGTTTTACTGTTTTCTTTGCATTTAACAGTTGTTTTTTTTTAAATTTCTTTTCAGTGTTCCAGAATTCATTGTTAGGCACCACACCCAGTGCTCCATGTAATCTGTGCCCTCCATAATACCCGCCACCAGGCTCACCCAACCTCCCATCCCCTGCCCCTCCAAAATCCTGGGATTATTTTTCAGAGTCCACAGTCTCTCATGGTTCGTCTTCCCCTCTGATTTCCCCCAACTCCTTCTCCTCTCCATCTCCCCATGTCCTCCATGTTATTCCTTATGCTCCACAAATAAGGAAAACCATAAGATAGTTGATTCTCTCTGCTTGACTTGTTTCACTCAAAAGAATCTTTCCCAGTCCCATCCATGTTGCTACAAAAGTTGGGTATTCATCCTTTCTGATGGAGGCATAATACTCCATAGTATATATGGACCACATCTTCCTCATCCATTCATCCGTTGAAGGGCATCTTGGTTCTTTCCACAGTTTGGCGACTGTAGCCATTGCTGCTATAAACATTGGGGTACAGATGGCCCTTCTTTTTACTACATCTGTACCTTTGGGGTAAATACCCAGTAGTGCAATTGCAGGGTCATAGGGAAGCTCTATTTTTAATTTCTTAAGGAATCTCCACACTGTTTTCCAAAGTGTCTGTACCAACTTGCATTCCCACCAACAGTGTAAGAGGGTTCCTCTTTCTCCACATCCTCTCCAACACACATTATTTACTGTCTTGTTAATTTTGGCCATTCTAACTGGTGTAGGGTGGTATCTCAATGTGGTTTTGATTTGAATCTCCCTGATGGCTAGTGATGAACATTTTTTCATTTGTCTGTTAGCCATTTGTATGTCTTCATTGGAGAAGTGTCTGTTCATGTCTTCTGCCCATTTTTGACATGATTATCTGTTTTGTGGAGTTTTTAGTACTTTGATGAACTTTTAAAAATCCCTTCATCTTGGAGATTGTATTTTGAGGAGAGTGTAAAAGGCAGACAGTCGATAGGCAGAGATGTGAGTCTAACTCTGATCCTGTGTAAATTATAAAGTAGATCAGATCCCTGGTTCTTTCTCATCACCGAGTTGTTGGCTCTGAAAGCCGTCCCTGCTCCTGCAGGTCTGTTCCTTGAAATAAAGCACATTCACTTCCTCAACATAAGAAAAGAGAGAGAGAGAGGAAGCTATTACTGTATACACAGGCTGTCCTCGCTTTGCACAGGAGTGCGGGACCAGAAAAATGAGCTGCTTGCCAAAATCAGACAAGGGGATCTTAATAAATTTTAACAAAATGTTCTAAAGGTATGGAGGTAGGGAGGGTGCTCGGCATTTCCATGCCCTTTTTGGGCACGACACCTTCCCACCCAGCCCTTGATGTGTTCACCAGCCTTGAAGCTCTCCAACCCTGAGTTTAGGGGTTTTCATGGCGGTTTCACTATGTAGGCATGATTGATTAAGTCACCGGCCATTGGTGATGGTCCATCTTCTGTCCCTCTTCCCTCCCTAGAGATGGAGTGGGGCTAAAATTCCAAGTTTCTAACCAAGGTTTGGTCTTTCTGGTGAGTGGGCCCCCATTCTGAAGCTACGTAGAGGCTGCTAAGGGTTGCCTCATTAGAATAAAAGGTGTCCCTATCTCCTCTCAGGAAATGACATGGGATTTAGAGCTTTGTGTCAGGAAACAGGGACAGGTCTATCATAGATCTCTGATAGGACAGGTCCCTCATAGCAAAAGGGCACATTTCTAGATGCCCAAGTAGTCATTAATGATTAGTCCTCACCATATTTTATGAAAAGGTCTCCCAGGGCAAGTCCACTCAGATTTGCAGACTTCCATTCGATGTTGTCAGGTGTGATCTCAGCGATCTATAGCTTCACCCTTTCAGGCATAACTCAGAACAGCCAAAGGTGAGAGCTACATGGAGCAAAGTGGGGGTGGGCATGGGGCTTCTGTGTGCTCTGGGGTGCCCTTCCCCCATCTCCGTGCACTCAGCAGCCTGGAGTTCTCTGCCTCTTTCTCCTCAGGACCTTCAAATGGTAGTACATGGAGGTGGGGGGATTTCTTTAGAGCCATTTCGTTTCTCCAGAGAAGAACCTTTTGGCTTCAATCCCAAGGTAAAAATGCAATATATGTGTGGCCTACCGGGGTCAAGCTTCCTTTCACAGATTTTCATTGTTTATAGCCTCACACCTCACTCCTACCCTGTGTTTCATGCACTGTCCCTGAGCCCTGGGCTTTTCCCACTTCTCCAAGAGTAGGCCTCCAGTGTGGGAGATGCTCCATGCCTGGCTGGTGTGTGGGGAGATGCTCTTCATGCCAATGTCCATTTTTGGTTCCGTGCTTCACACCCCCTTCTCTTCAAGTCCTGCACCTCTCTCCAGGGCTCTGTGCTCCGAGGTGTTCCACTCAGTGTGTCCTATGTGTGGTTTCCTCACCTTCTTCCATTAGCTTTCCATCTCTGAAATATGTCTTCAGTCTTCTTGGATGCTAATGTTCCTCTCCCAGTCTCACATTCATACATTTTTGTCTCTTCATTGTCCTTTACTGGGGTCTGAGGAGGCAGAGGGAATATGGTGTGCATCTTAACCTGGAATTCTGCCACTGGTTTGTAAGATCAAGGATTTGAAGCAGTGGACATGGGCAGAAAGGAGAAATGTGAGACTTGGGAAAAGCCAGACTGAGGCTTGAAAGTAATCTTTATTCATCCGAGCCGCACACACAGTGGGTATGGAAGACAGGGCCGCCGTCACTGTGGAAGACTACTTGTGGCGATCATCTTCTCCCAAGCTCCACATTTTAGCTTTGTATAGCGTGATATCATTGTAGACCCTGAAGTGGTTCAGCCTGCGGTCATCACGTTCCGGGTTGACCTAGATAAGAGAACGCAGGCATCAAAAGGAAGCCTCTGTGGGGAAGGGACCACCGGGGTTTGTCCTTGTGAGGACCTGGGCTCCAGTGTGTGGCCTCCAGGTCTCCTGGAGCAACTTTGTTTGGGAATGGAAATGACAGCATTTACATCAAAACAGTTATAACCTAGGCCCAGTTGCTGCACTACCCTTCCCACACCTGCGTTGGAGGCCACACCTCTGGACTCTTGGTCCTCTGGAACTTGAGCGCCAGGAGGGCGGCTGCTGTACCTGTTTCAGTCACTGCTTATCCCCAACACCTAGAACAGTGTCCAGCACACACTAGAGGTTCAGGACACATTTGTCACTGAAAGAATGGATGTTGTTGATGTGGTTACACAGAGGACTAAGAGTGAGCACTCAGACACATAAATCTGATAGAAGCTCTACGACGAACTCAGGCAATTAAAGGATACATTTCCATCAAATGTTACTAGGAGAGCAGAAGCTGAGAGGTGTTTGAGTGTGGCTTCTCCAGTGTCCCAGTATTGGGATTGGGGTTGTCTGTTTGTCCAGGGTGAGGTTCTGCTAGGGCGTAGGGAGCCTCTTTGGCCCCCAGTCATATCACTCTGAATCTCTGGCTTAATTCCTTTTTATGGTTGCACAATACCTGTATCTAACTTTTGGGGCCTGTACTTTCTTACTCTGCCACCAGTGCCATCCGACAGCACAGTCCCTATGTTTGTGATGAACAGGCGTGGCGTGTTTGTAGACCCAACACAACTCACAGCGATGGCTGATGGTTAGCGCACACAGTCACTTATCGGCCAGGCCTGGGAGGGCTGGAGCGGGGCAGGGCTGGCCGGGGCACCCCCACTGCCCTGCCCTGAGACATGCGGGTCAAAGATGCATTTCCACATGCCCACTCTGTACCCATGGGGGCCAGCCTTTCCTCTTTAAGAAAATGAAGAACAGCAAATTAAATTATTTGTGTTTTGTAGTAATTTTTAAAGTTGGTTGAGTATCTAACTCAGATAATTTGTCTTTCCCTTCACAATCCTCCAGCACCCCCCCCAATTCACTCTTAAGTCAGTCCCCGACCCATCCTCCTCCTCTGTCTGTTTGAGCACTGCTCTTTTGGGACTCAGTCCCCCTGGGAAGGTGGGGCGCTTCTGCTGGACCTACTTCCTGTCTCCCAGTGTCCTCTCTTCAGGGTGAGTCCCACATCTGAAGAGGAGCTGTTGTAAAGGAGAAGCTTTTTACTCAATCAGTCCTTCCCTCCCTCCCTCCCTCCCTTCCTCCTTTTCTCCCCTTCCTTCCCTCCTTCCTCCCTCTCTCACTTTCCTTCCCTCCATCCTTCCTTCTTTCCTTCCATCCTTCCTCCCTCCCTTCCCTCCTTCTTCCCGAGCTATTTATTCCAATTTCCCTGCAGCAGCCCTGCAGCAGACCCACATACCCCAGACTGGAGCTGTATAAATGAGAGAGAAGGTGAGGCCCCAGAGTAGAAAGTTAAGAACCACAGGATGTGGCGGTCTTGGGAAGGGTGCACGCTCAGTAGAGGAGGACAACCGGGCATTGCCCTAAGCAGTTTAGACACAGTGTCTCTGTTAATCCCCACAATACACCTTCAAGGGCCAGTATTATTATTCCCATTTTAAGGTAGGTAACTGGAAGTTGAGAGGTTCAGGTCCCACAGCTAGAAAGTGGAGCTGGGATTTGAACTCCGCTGTCTGGCTCTAGAGCCACCGTGTTACACTGATACACAGAATTGAGCTGACTGGTGCAGAAGCTGGAGGGATGCGGTGCCCCAGGAGCAGGAGGGGAAGGTGCCCAAATCTGCCTGGTGGGGAGCGCGGGGTGCACATCCCTTACTGGGGCTTTATAAAGAGGTGACTCCTTAGCAGTCCTGAAGGACGAGGAGGACCTCCGGGAGGAGTATAGGTTTGGGGTCAGGAGGCAGGCTGCGGGAGGCATCCGCTAAGGAGACGGGGTGTACGAGATCCTGGAACCTTTGAGGGACCGCAGGATGTTCTACCAAAGCTGAGGAAGAGCGTCTCCAGCTTCACATCAGGCACCAAATACAGAGATGGACTAAAAGCCAAGTGTTAAAAAGAACACAACAACTTGGGGAAAAATCTAAAAGGAAAGCTAGTCACCTGGCTACTCTGAATATTGAAGGCTTTCCTAAACAAGGCACAAACTCCAGAAACAGTGACGGAAAAGGCTGGCGCATTTAACTTAAAAACTAAGACAGTCTATGTGATCAAAGACGTGCGCAAATTAAAAGACAAATGTGGCAGGAAGTTCAAACTGTTCTCGTACCAGAAGCCCTATCTCATTGCAGGATGACAACACGCTGCTGATCACATTTCCCAGGCTCTTGGCAGCTCCCGGGCCTTTCCAATCCAACAAGGGGCATGTTACCAGCGTTCCCATTTTATAGATAAAGGAATGGAACTCTGTGAGGTCACAGGATGTGCCCGACCACCCTGCTAGTCACTGGCAGAGCAGACCCAGGCAGTCACCAGCAAGCTTTGTCTGGTCCACACCTAGATGATGTCTGCTATGTGTCAGGCACTGCTCTAAGCACCTTACAAATTAGCTCATTCTGTAATATCTCTGCTATCTCCATATTACACTGAGGACATGGAGTCATGGAAGAGCTTTGTGACTTACCCAAGGTTACACAGCTAGTAAGTGGCAGCCAGAGTTCAGACCCAGGCAGTCTGGCCTCATCTATTGTTTTCTTAACCAACGGCCTCTGTTGCCTCTTGCTTCCTAGGTAAAGGAGCCACACTTACCAAGGGCTCTGAGTCCCATCCGATTTCTTGGCTTTCGGTCTGTGTCTCTGTGTATTTCTTCCTTGGCCCGAGGGCAGCGTGGTGGATGAGATTTAGAAACCTGGCTGGGAAAGTAGGCATGAGTTATGGAGGAGGCAGGCTTTGGGGCCGAGATTTCCTGTGCTCTTTACTCAAGCCACAGGCTTCCCTAGAGACACAGTGCCCAGACTTGGGGGCCCTGCCAAGGCCTTGCAAGGCTCATCTTTCCACAAATATTTATTGAGCACAAACTTGTACCAGGCACTCTTCTGGACCGCAGAGGCAGAGCAGAGTGTGATGAACATGGTCCCTGCTCTCCTGAAGTGTGTGGTCTTGGTAGGGTGACAGGGTACACAATGCCCAAGGGGACAAACAAATCTGAGGGTGATGCCAGCTGTGAAGCAGGAGGAAGCAAAGGGGCATGCAGAGGTGGAGACCAGGGTCTGGATGCCAAGCAGGCGCCAGCCCTGAGACAGAGGCAGAGGAAAAGCACAGTACAGGCAGCAAGAACAAAGGCCCTGAGGCACAAGAAACCTGGGCCAATGTGGCTATGGCAGAGTGAGGAGGAGGGCTGTAAACCGGCCAAATCCTCCGTGCGGCTATAGGAATGGCTGCCAACCCCACACTGATCTGTAACTCCACAGCTTGCGGGCTTACAAAGATTTCATTTCCAACTTCCACCCTATCAAGTCTCAATTTGAGAGGCAGTTTGACGACGGGAAGAACCTGTGCTTTGTAGTCAGACAGTCCTGGCCCTTCCGCTACCAGCCTGACGGGTGGTTTAACTTCTCTGGGCCTCACTCTGCTCATCTGGAAAATGGGGAGGCCAATATCTACCTCAGCAAGAGGACTGAGCATGAAGACCTGGCCCCGGCCTGAGCTTATCTGTGATATAAATAGTTTGCAGTACACTCCTGGCTCACTTTCAGGTCCCTCGCTGCCTGTTACTCTCTCTGCCACTGCCCGGCCCCAGCTCCTCTCCTTTCCTCTAGCTGGGCTGGTCTCTTCATCACAGATAACGTCCCACTTCCTCTGACGAGCTCTAGGAGTCTATCCGCTTGGCTGTCTCCGCTATGCTCTGAGATCCTCCCTCCTCCTGCCCACCCCACCTTCTTACCCTGTCCTCCTAGAGAAACTTTACCTCTTCGCTCCATCAAATTCTACTCTAAAGGGGGAGGGAGGTGAGCTTGCCAGGAAGGATTGGGCTTTCCATCAAATACCTCTCCCATCATTCCTGAGCGTGGTCCTGCCCACTTGGAGACCACAGCCATGCCCATCTACCCACCTCCTCGGGCCGTGCTGCTGTCTCTCATTTCTGCGCCTTTCCATATAACTCAGAACGTCCTTCTGGTCTTCTCTACCTGACCTACTCCACCTCAGCCTGTTACCACCTCCTCCAAGACGACTTCTCAGAACTCCACGACCTGTCTAGGGCACCTGTTTTCTCTGTTTTTGCCATCCCAATTTTATTCTCTATTTACTCATCTGTCTCCTTCACTGTGGTGTGAGGTCTCCACCTCCCCACCCCCTGCCCCATCAAAGTGATTGTCACATGATAATAATGAAAGTAATAGCATTTCCTGATCACCATGTACTATACTGTTCTATGCTCTCAGTACCTGGCTTATTCTGTTGAATCCTCACAACAACGTGAGAGATAGGCTCAGGGAGGGCAAAAAAACTTGCCCAAAGCCACACGGTTAATGAGTGGCTGAACAGGATTTGAACTCCATTAAAATGACTTCAGAATCTCTGCTTGTCACAGCGAAATGTTTGACGAATGAATATATAAATACATTGCGAAGACCATTAGGAGCATTTTTCTTGGCCTGACAGTCAATGAACTGGCCATATGGTTGAATATATCGGTCTCCTGTGAGCTTCACGAATGTGAGTCCAGTTTTCAGATGATCAAAATGTTGCCCCAAGTTAACACTACCTTGAAAGTTCTCTCGAGCCAGCTGCCTATCTGGGCTCTATCGGTGGTGTTCACAAAGCCCAGGACTTACCATCTGCAGGTTCCTCCAGGTTATCATGCCAAGACATGGGCTTTCTGGTGATTGTGTGAACTAGAGAAAAACAGCATCACAGGTTCACGTTACAACATGAACATCCCGCCCTCTTGACGACTCACCCAAGCCAGACACCTGCTGAGCATTTTTCCGAGTGTCTGCCACATGTCAGGTATTGTGCTGGGCGCTAGGGAATGAGGCTCTCAGGGACTTCACAGTCCAGAGTGGCACTGTCCAGGACAGTGGCCACCAGTCACATGTGGCTACTTGCATTTCAATGGTTAAAATTAAATACACTTAGAAATCCATTCCGCAGGCACACTAGCCACATTTCAAGGGCTCCGTTGCCACATGGGGCTAATGGCTCCCATTCGGGGCAGCACAGCTATGAAACATTTCATCGTTGCTGAATATTCTCTCAAACAGTGCTGGTCTACAGGGATGCAGACACACCAGGTGTGTCTAGCAGACATATGAGTATTAATTCTAGTATTTAATACTCATATGTCTGCTAGAATTCGTATTTATGTTTACTTTTAGATATAAAGAAAGAAATTATACTGCTCATAGTACATAGAGACATATAAATACACATGTATTAGGTGTGCGTTCAGAAGTTTTTTACTGGTAGGAGTCTGAGGTAAAAAATAATTTTGGAGACCACTGGTTCCTTCTGGTTTCTGCTCATTTCCTATTACCCTCAACTTAGCTCACTCCACAGAATTACTCTGGTCTTCTTGATGTTTCTCAAACTCACCAAGCTCACTCTTGGATTCCCTCACTTTATCCAGAGCTCTGCTCACATGGCACATTTCCTTAGAGACCTGTCACCCCCACCTGACCATCCACACTCTACCCATGTAACGGGCTTTACTGTTCTACAGCTCACTTATTTTGCCCAGGTATTTATTTGTTTATTGTCTGTCACCACAAATAAGAAGCTCAGGAAGTACAGGAACTGCCTCTATTCACAGCCCTGTCTCCTGGGCATCGGTAATTATGAGTTGAATGGATGTCTGTGGATTCTGCACCTCTGCTGTCACACAGCCTCCAGGAGATATATCACCATGGGTCTAACCTTGTTTGGCTACCTGGTGTGTCTGCACCCGAGGAGGCTGGGTGGGCAGAGAGCCAGATCCACAGGGGTCTTACGCACTGACCTGTTTAAACCTTGGTTCAGAAGCTGGGGGCCCCTGAGGGTCTTAAAGAGGGACCGATGGGATCGAACTCACTTTTAGCATAGCTCCAGCTGGAAGTGGTGTGGGGGATAGTGAGTTTGGAGGAAGAGGGTAGTTAAGAGCCCATCCCATCACTGCGGACAGAAGTGAGAAGGGTCCCGCTGAGGCTTGGCGGGGAGGCTGGAGAGAGGGGTGGACTCAGGCCCTAATTAGAGGGGGGAAGCAAGTGAGGGGAGATGGAGAGGTCTCCACGAACACCACTGTCTTTCACTGAGGTCAGAACACTGGAAGAGTCGGTCGGGTGAGAGAAATGTTAAGGAATAGTCAGGACTGCGACCACTTCGAAGTGTGCAGTGAGGGAGAGACTGAGGATGACTTCCAGGCTTCAGCCTGGGACAGAAAATGATTGCAGTACCTTCTCCTCAAACAAGATACTCTGGAGTAGAGGCAGGTGGGGGACATGGGCAGGATGCCCCCAGTTTTCCAACTGGTGAGTTTAAGGGACCCACGGCCTGTCCAGGGGAAGAGAGCTGGATGGTAGTTGGGGGCGTGGGTCTGGGTTTCCATCTGAGACCCACGGGCATTCAGGGGCACTGCTCAAGGAATGTGCCAGGTGAGGAGTGGGGGCAGGGCTGGTTTATCAGAGGGGCACTGTGGGCCCTGAGCCCAGCACCACCACCCTCCTCCCGGAAGTTTCCCAACATTTAAGACAATATGAAAAGCCTGGAAAAACAAACTCGCTTATTTACAACACAAACACAACTAGCTTATTAACGACAAACCAAAACACAACAACAAAACAGACCGTAAAACCCTACAGGATATAATTATTTAGAAAGCAAAATTTCAAAAAGTCTTTCAAACTTTTTGAAAATACTATTTAATATTTAATCGTGATGTGTGTGCATTTTTTTTTAAAGATTATTTATTTATTTATTTGACAGACAGAGATCACAAGTAGGCAGAGAGGCAGGCAGAGAGAGAGGAAGAAGCAGGCTCCCTGCCCCAGCACTCTGGGATCATGACCTGAGCGGAAGGCAGAGGCTTTAAGCCACTGAGCCACCCAGGCACCCCGATGTGTGTGCATTTTAATACATTAAAGTATTTGGTGGGATGTGGAGCGAAACCCTCCCCTATTCTCCCCACTCCTGAAATCTAGGGGGGCGAGGTCAGAGAAGGCGTCTTCTACTGTGCTCAGCCCCGCATCCCCACCCCACACCCCCGCCCCATACCTCCACGGCCCCTCCTTCCTGGGGAAGCTCACCCAGTCCTCTACCTCCGCCCCGGGGCGCCCCTCACCTTTGCGGAGGGGATTCACGTGGTACTGTGTGTAGAGTTTCTGGGTTCGAAGCTCTTTGAGGTATAATTCCCGCAGGATCTGGTTCTGATGGACCTCATCTAGGAGCACTTTCTCCTTTTGGCGTCCGGCCATGGCTTTGGCGGTGCTGGTTGCGCTCTTACCCTTTCTCCCTGCGCTCCAGACGCTGGCCTGGGAGCAGGGCGGAGCGCCATCTCCAGGCAACCGCGTCCCACACTGTCTCCTGGCAACAGCGTCCGGGATTACAGCCTCGCTTCGACAACCACACCCCAACACACCCTCCCGGGGGCTGCCCATCCCCCCTACCCCGTCCGCACCTTCCAGAACCTTATTTCTGAGCCCACTTGCTTCCTAAGCCCAAAGCCTGACTGACAACTACCTTGCCCAGCCTCTCAAGATCCAGTCTGGTTCCTAGGACCAACCCCACATACCGCCAGGAGAGAACACAGGTCCAGCAGCAGACCCAGGAGGTAATGGACTTGATTGGACCTCACCTTCGACAGTCATTTCCTAAAAAAGATTTGGGAAGGAGTCAGAAACCTCTCCCTTTTTAAAGCAGATGACTAGAAAGGAAACTCTCAATGTCTGTCTCACAAAACAGAGGAGGTTTCAAATTTGACAAGTTATTCTGGCCCTTATCATCCATGGGATAATATAGACAGAAGAACCCTTTACTTTGGGGAGGGGGTGTTTTAAAGATTTTATTTATTTATTAGTCAGGGAGAGAGAGAGAGAGTGAGTGTGAGTACACACTGGGGAACGACAGGCAGAGGGAGAAGCAGGCTCCTCGGGAGCTAGGACCCCCAGGTGGAACTCGATTCCAGGACCCTGGGATCATGACCTGAGCTGAAGGTTGCTGCTTAACCTACAGAGCCACTCAGGTGTCCCAAGAAGAGCACTTTTCTGATGTAAGGGACTTGGGGACTTTATAGTTTATTTATTTAAAAAATTCAATTGTGGTAAAATACATAACATAAAATATACCATTAGAATCATTTTAAGGATATAATTCAGTGGTGTTAAATATATTCACATTGTGTGAAACCAATTTCCAGAATTTTTTGATACTCATTAAACAACTTCCCATGGCCCGCTCCCCCATAGCCTCTGGAAATTGCCATTGCACTTTCTGTATGAATTTGACTACTCTAGATAGCTCATATAATACAGTTTGACTCCAAAGCCCATGCTCTTTTCCATTAAGTACTTCACTGATTCATCTATCCATGCATTCATTCAGGGACACAGCATATTCAAGGATGTGTGTAGGTCTGGGACAGGCCTGAACTCAGCTAGCTCCTTAAAGGCTCCTTGTTTTAGCTCCTGCTATTCCTTCTCCTTGGCCTGGAAGGCTCTTTCCCGTGTGTCTGTCTGGCGAGCACCTGTTTATAACGAGCTCATGTACAGTGAGCTTCTTTCAAAAAGCTACTGAACTCCATAGCCCCTAGTCCAGCTTTTCTCTGTGACATGCTCTGCTCCAAATCTGTAGTTACTGGACTATTTTACTAAAATTCTTTGTTTACATGTAAGTTACTTGAGAATGAGAAATTATATTGGGTCCATCTCTCCATGACCAGTACCTGGCCTACTATGGGCAGATATGGGTGTTTGGTAAAGTTTTGCGGGCTGTTTGGATGTCTGCTCAGTTAGTACTGGGATTTTCTTCTGCTTACATCATTACATAAACCCTTGCATGATTCAGAAACGCAAACGGATTCTATTACACCAGGACTGAACTAGAGAAGCCCTTTGTTATTTATTGTGAGCCATACCTGGGTCCCTTTTTCTAGCAAGACTCAAACGGCCTCTGAAGTCTTCACTGTCTTCCTAAGCCTAAGTAGGAATGAATCATCATTCTGCTCAGGAGCTGCCTTGCTAGCTCTGGGACAACTAGCAAAGGCTGTATCGGTCCCCAGCTAAACTGACCTTTCTTCAGCCCCAGCCTTGTGGTCCAGCAACCCTCCCTCCATACAGGAAGGACTATGACTAGGAGGAGGCTCAGAAGGAAGGGAGTCACTGCAGCTTCATCTTCCCTCCACTCCAGCCCCACATTATTATATTTCCCAGGTGCCTTTGAACACCTCATAGCCCAGCCCAGTGGAGGCCGGTCCAGTGACTCTCTGGGGCTAGCTTCTGCTTACCTGGGGACATTCTAGGCCATCCTTCTAAACTCTGAGACTATTTATTGAAAAACACAGGGGAGTTGAAAAACATCATGGTCTTCTCCTCTAGCTTCTCAGCTATTGTCTGAGGTTGCAGATTTTTCTTGAAATCTGTGTTACCTCTCCATTAGGAGCAGATGCAGAGACTCAGCTAACAGGGAAATCAACTAGAAAAATATAATAGAAAATGTCATTCACATTAACAAAAAACAGCTATCTAGGAATTAACCTAATAAAGAATGCATGAACATTTTATGAAGAAAAAAAAATTGAAACTATCCATATCATACAAAAGGTCTTAACTAAAAAGGAGATCAGCATCGTATGCCAGTGAGCTGCTGTGCAACACTTAGAGCCACAAACGAGACGCGCTATAGCCATGAGGGCGGATCTTAAAACAGCAGCGATTGAAAAAAAGTTATAAAAGACTAAGGTTTATAATATAATACTATGACCTAAAACTACAAACAGACCAATTCTATATGGTACAAGATTGATTCTGCATGGTACAGAGTGAGTGTGTATTGGGTAAGGAGATCGGAGAGCCACCCAGGCTTGTAAATAAAACAAGATTTTTTTTCCTTCTGGGCTTCCCCAACTGCTACAGACATTTAAATGCAGGGCCTGGGTATGGAGCAGTGCTGGACTGTGATTCTTTGAGAGAAGGGAGACAAAGGAGATGAACCCTATAGTTATTCCAAATTTCTGCCTGGAGACATTTTCTCAAAAATGCAGGGAAGGCGAACCCAAGCTAAGCAGGTGATAATGGCCTAGTTGAGGAGACACAGACTAATGTTCAGGAGTGTGAGGCAGCTGAAAATTTGTGGAGCCAATAACTGGAGGGAGGGGTGAGGGAGAGAGCGAGAGAGAGCCAGAAATGTGCATGGAAACCCTTTGAGTCTTTCCTGATACTAAAAAGGGAGAAATTCGGTGAAGGAATGACTCGGAAGCTGTGAGCTGAGCAACAACCAGAATTCATACAGGACTGAGAAAAAACTGAGTTCTGACCAGACAAGGTAGAGAGTCCTCAGTGAGGGTGTTGGGTGGAGACCCCCAAAAGTTAACACCTTAGTAAAAAGACTAAGCTAGGCTTAGAGAAAAGGTTGCTCTAGGCTTTCCCTAACAAAGCTTCAAAACAAGGCTCTGAAAGTATCAGATAGATCCACAGAAGGGGCCAGTCTGTCTCCGGGAAAAATTTCCAACATATCTTAAAGAAAAACAACAAAACCCAGCACTCAGCAATATAACATTCACAAAGGACAGCATCAATTGAAAATTATTAGCAAAACAGACAGTTTTAGTAGGGAAATGTGACCCATAGCCAGGAAAAAAAGCAACATAGAAATTTGAAAACTTAAACGAAATGGATAACTTCTGTGAAGGCATAGATTTCCAGAACTGACAAAAAAAGAAAAAAAAAAAAAGGAAATGGAAAATCTACATAGCTTTATATCTATTTTTTAAAATTCAAATTTTTTAAAGATTTTATTTATTTACTTGACAGAGAGAGATCACAAGTAGGCAGAGAGGCAGACAGAGAGAGAGGAGGAAGCAGGCTTCCCGTTGAGCAGAGAGCCCGATGTGGGGCTCGATCCCAGGACCCTGAGATCATGACCTGAGCCGAAGGCAGCGGCTTAACACACTGAGCCACACAGGTGCCCCTAAAATTCAAATTTTGATTGAAAACTTCCCCTAATATACCCTCCAGGCCCAGATGGATTCTCTAGTCAATCTGTCAAGCATATAATGATGAAAATTCTACTCCTACCCAAATGCTTTCAGAAAACAGGAGTGGAAGAAGTATTTCCCAACTAATTTTTTTTGTCATTTTAATTTTTTAATTAAAAAAATTTCTTTTAAAGTAAGCTGTACACCCATCAATGTGGGGGCTTGAACTCACGACCCTAAGACCAAGAGTCACATGCTTTACTGAATGAGCTAGCCAGATGCCCCATTTCCTAACTCATTTTGAGGTCAGCATTACATCAACACGAAAACCAGACAATTATTACAAAAAAAAAAAACCAAAACCTAAAATAAGCCTTGCAAACATAGGTAAAATATTGTAAAAGATGTAAAAATCCTTAACTAAGTATTAGAAAATTATATCCAGCAATATATAAAAAGATTAATATACCATAGTCAGATGGGTTTGTTCAAGGGATGTAAGGCTGGTTTAGTATTTGGAAATATCAATTCACCATATTAACAAATAAAAGAGAAAGACCATATGGTAGTCTCTACGTTTGGTAGATGCTGAGGAAAGGTACAAGGGGAGAGCTGCTGGGTCCTTTGTGGGAGCCCTGGGCACCCTAACCTGTGACAACTCACAGTTATAAGTGCTGATAAGCACATGTTTAAAAATCATAAGAGAAACTTTTAAATTGTGAAACATTACACATACACAGAAAAGTGTTTTCCTGCAGAACGGGTAGCTCATACTTATTTACCACAAGTACATACGTGTAACCATCACAGAAGCAGACAATAGAACATTAAGAGCATCCCAAGAAGCCTCTCTCACATCCCCACCTAAACCCTGTCTTCCGCTTTCTCCTCAAAGTTACCCCCTATCCTGACTCTTAACACCATAGATCACTTTGCCCATGTTTTCACTTTGTGTAAATGGACTCATACAATGTGCATGCTTTTGTGTTTGACTTCTTTTGCTCAAATTATGTTTGTGAAATTCATCTGTGCTGTTGTGTGGGGTTGTGGTTTAATTCCTGTGTACTGTTCACTTTTGTGACTATAACACAGTTTATTTATTCATTTTGCTACTAATGGACATGGGGCTGTTTCAATATGGACCATTACAAGTCACGCACATTTTTGGTAGATGTCTCTTGATGCCCACGTGCAAACATTTTGTTGGCTGTATACTTGGGAGTGCATCTCGTTATGGCTTTAATTTGTGTTCTTCTATTGACTAATGAGGTTGACCAACTTTTTTGGTATGCTTATTGGTCATTTGAATATCCTCTTTTGTGAAGTTCCTATTAAAAATCTTTTTCTATTTTTCTTTTGTATTTGTCTTTTCCTTATTAATTTATTGGAGTTCTTTATAGAGTATTGATATACTAAGCCCTTTGGGAGCTGTGTGTTCTGTAAATTTATTTTCTCACTGTATGGTTTTCCTTTTTAGACTCTTAATGTTATTGTTTAGATAACTTAAAAGACACTTTATAGTATCTTCTTAAAATTTAAATGTGGTTGAATATATCAGTTTTTCCCTTTATGCTTTCTAAATGACACTGAAGACATTTTTTCCTAATTGATGTTGTGACAGTATTTTCTTATATTACCTTCAAATCAGTACCATTGAATAAAAATATGAAGCAAGCCACACAAGCAATTAAAAATTTTCTAGTACCTAAACAAAAGAGCAAAAAGAAGCAGATTCAACTAATTTAAAGATGTTTTAATATAATATATCCAAATTATAATTTCAACATTTCAATATAAATACTGTTGAGATATTTTATTGTTTTTTTCACACTGTGTTTAAAATCCAGTGCAAATTTTATACTGGATAGTGTGTGTCAAGTGCTCAATAGCCAGGGGTGACCGGAGCAATTCTACATGATTCATTTTTACTCTTTCACATTTATGTGTGTTTTACCTGAAGTTGATTTTTTAGTGTAGTTACATGGTAAGAATCGAGCTTAATTTTTTTCCATAGGAGTACTCAATGGACCAAGAACCAATTTATTGAAAAGTCCGCCCATCCCCATGGTTCTGCTATGATACTTTTGTCTTAAATCAAGTGTCCACATGTGTAGGAACCTGAGTCTGGACACTTCTATGCCACTTACCTATTTGTCCATGTTGGCACTACTACTATACTAACTTAATCAATATAATTTTTGTGACAAGTCCTGGTATCTGGTAGGAAAATTGTCCCTACCAGTTCTTAAGAGAGTCTTGGTTAATCTTGGCCCTTTTGCCTGTCCACCCAAATTATAATCAACTTGTCAAGTTTCCTAAAAATTTTCTTGATTTTTGATTGAGATTCCACTGAACCTATGTATCGATTTGAGGAAAGCGCTTAAAAAAAATGTATCATCTATTCATCTGATGCTATCATCTGAGTAGGATCTGGATGTCTTTGCCTTCTAGGCTCTACTACCTGCCATTTTCTGGGGTACAGAGGTTCAACTTTCAGAGCTTTGATGATAAAATAATGGAGGGCCCCCCATCTTTTTGCAGGAGACATTTCTCCAAGTCAGAAAGTCCCTGGTAAGTTTCTACAATCCTAGGATGCAGAAAAATAGAGTCTTGGAGGAGCCAGACCATAAAACCTTGAATCCCCATATGTCTATAATAGAGGATTTATGCTTTGTGTGTAAGTTTTTAGGTGTCACTCATTCTTGCACTCAATTTAATCTAGGGCATATCAATAAGACTTAACTGCATAGAGATCAGATTAGAAGTTTTCCACTCACTCTTCTCTACTTTGCGTCACTGGTCTTGCTGTTTGTTCTGTGGTCACAGACCAAGTTCCACCGAGAAGCCAGTTAAAAATGTAGAAGCTCATTCAGGCTGGCTAATGGGGGAAGAGAGGAAAGAAACAGATTCTCTACAAAGTGGATCTTGTTAAAGGTGTCTCTGGCATCTGAAGGGTGCCAGAGACACCTTTAACAAGATGGATGTTATTGAGGATGTTAAGGATGGAGACAAAATTCAGATAATAGTAAGATAACCAGGTTACGGCTGAAAACTCCATCATGGAAAAGGGATTCTGTAAGTAACAGAGCTTACCTTCCAACCTGAATGCTGGTCGGCATTCTCTTGAATTCCCAGTGCTCACCAGGTCAGGCTCCTGGAGATCCACAGTCTTGGTAATTCTGGATGGCATCAGAACTGTCCCACTCCCAAGGAAATCATCTCTCCAAGATAAGATTTATGGATCACAGAAGTCTGGATGAGTTTGGACCAGACTTCAAAGATCTAGAAAGAAGGGCTGGAAGGGGGAGTAGGGGCAAAGACAAAGGAGTAAAAGGAAAGAGGAGCAAGATTACTAGAGCGGCGAGTGGATGGTTTGGAAGGAACAGTGGAAGATTTGGACAGGGAAACCTGTGAGGTAGGGTGGCAAGAAGGGATGGTTCTAGTCAGAGGAGGTAAAGTCGTAGAGCAGTAAGCTGAGAGAGGTAGATGGCGCTGGGGAGCAGTCTGACAGTCACAAGAGTTAGATAGGAGAGGAAAGTGGGTTGGAAAACGAGAACATAAGGGGGCAGATTGGGCAGGAGTCTGGGGCTGAGATGAGGAAATCCAGGGCAGCTTTCTCATCATTTTCCCATATGACATTTCTCTAGTTACTCATCTTGGCAAAAAGGAGTAATTGGACATAAGCTCAAACACACCCCAGCATTTATCTCCACACAAGCCCTCACATCATCCCAAGGCCGAATGCCCATTATGAGATGTATGTGCCCCACCCTTCTGGGCAAGTTAGCTGACCCGGCAGCCAGGGAAATGGCACCAGGTGCTAGGTTGGAGGGTGATCACAGAAAATAGCAGAGAGAAGAAATGGGGCTGTAATATTAGTCCTTATTTCTTGGGATAACATGTAGTTTTGCCCCTTATTAGGCAAAGATCTATCTGAGGGCTGCGGTACAGTTAGAGGCTTGGGACCAAGAGAATGGATCTGAAGCAGGCATGGGCAAAGTGAGGAGAAGTCTGTGCCTCCAGCTATTTAACTTACTACATTTTTCAAAGCCCTTGTACATCACTTACATCACTCCATGAATATGAGGTGATCAGAGATACTATGTCCATTTTACCAGAAAGGAACTAGATAAGCAGGCAGCAGGTGACAAAGCAGGTGTGACTGAAACTTGAGCCAAAACTTGGGGGATAGGGGGCATGCAGGAGAGTACACCAAATGGTACAGAGCACTGTCAGCATGACCTTCTGCCGTGTTCCTGGACACAATCTGGTAGGGGTGCTTCAAAACAGGGCTTTACAGTGTAGCTGTATTCATGTATTCAGACATTCCATATTCTGACTACTACTTCCTGAACTTACTGTGTAATTACTTAGTTGTTCCCATGTCACTGGGGCTTACAACAATGGACTCTTAGTTTCTTCTTTTTAATTCTGATTCCCTTTTATCTTTATTTCTCTCTTTACCCACTTCAGAATCTATGATTCAGAATTTCACTGATTTTCTTATCATGGTTCTAAACTCTCTTGCCATATCCTTTTATTGTGCTTTCCTTGGGGAAAAACCCTAATATGGGTGATTCCAAAAATTTGGCTTGCTTGTTTGTTGAATGCTTCTGGAAAAAATTTTTTCATACAATTTGGAAGATTAATACTAAATAATACACATAATATTCAATACCTATGAGAATGTTCATGGTGATATTATTTATTAGAGTAAAAGAAAAATGGAAAAGAACCTCAATGTTTATAAATAAGGACTTAGGTAAATTATGGTGCAGCCACGCCATAGAATATGAAAAGGAAATGTCCAGATGTAAAAAATAAGGAGAGGTAAGTACTTGAGGTGACATTGATGGAAGTTTAGGAAGGGGTGGGGTATGGATTATTGAAATTGTTAACGGCTAGAGGCTTGGGTTTTGCTGCTTATCTAGATGGAACTAAAACAATTATCCATCACCACAAAGAAATGGCAAGGTCTCTGACTAGGATCCGAGTTAAAAAAAAAAAAAAAGAAGAAGAAGTTTCTCTTGAGATATTGAAATCCTGTGCCTACCACTTGCCCTGGTTTTGAGTCTAAAATGTGAAATATGTGATGTAGAAACAATTAAACTGGTTTCAGGGCAATGTTACCTCCGAGGTGTTAGATACAAAATTTATCACTCTGTAGGAATAGTGCCATAGCCCAGGCGACAAGGAAAGCCCCACTGAAGATGAGTTCACAATCCAAAATTACAAAACTCATGAGTAAACTGTTCACATGAGGAATGATCAGTGGGTATAACAAAGGGCGTATTTACACAAATGCTTCACCAATAATTTCATGTAATTAAAGGCATAAAATAAGGACTTGAAATTCTATAAAAAAGTACAAGATATGAAAGAACTGATGGCAAAACAAGGAAACAACAAAACCAACCCCAGAATGAAAAAAAAGAGTCATTGAGTGAAACTGTAAACATTAAAGATAAAGAGATCCTAAAAGCAGTAAAAGAGGGGTGCCTGGGTGGCTCAGTTGGTTAAGCAACTGCCTTCAGCTCAGGTCATGATCCTGGAGTCCCGGGATTGAGTCCCACATTGGGCTTCCAGCTCTGTGGGGAGTCTGCTTCTCCCTCTGACCTTCTCCCCTCTCATGCTCTATCTCTTTCTTACTCTCTCTCTCTCAAATAAATAAATAAAATCTTTTCTTAAAAAAAGCAGTAAGAGAGCATAGATAAATTACCCATAAAGGAATTAAACTCAAAGAGAAATCTTAATGAAAATGGAAGACAGTGCAATGTTATTTTCTAAGTGCCAAGAGGAAGTAACTATTAATCTAGAATTTCATACACAGTCAAATTATCATTCAAGACTGAGTGCTAAATAAAGACATGTCCATCATTTAAGACCAAGTGCCAAACAAAGAGAATTTACCACTAATAAACTCTTATTTAAGAAAAAAAACAAAAGATAGAAATTTTGATCCCAAGAAGTAGGAAATGCAAGAAGTAAGGCCAAAGCAGGGGACCATAAATTAGGATTGGTAAGTAGGAAGCCTTCCACTAGTGACTACAAAACTTGTTGCAAAATGCTTGCACATTGCTGGCAGTCCCCCTGGCTGTAGGTGTTAGAGGAATAGGAGCACACTGAAAACAAAGAAAAGCCCCTTCCTCCTGAGGGACCCTCTGGTGCTGTCTACTGACACTGTCTAATGACACTTTAACATTACAGTGTGTCAGCAGATAAAGGAAAAATGTTCCTGGGTCCAGCTCCAGGAGCACACAATGCCCCTTGAGTTAGAGTCTGGTCCAACAGGCAATACATTGGTAACTGGCATGGCAATGAACAAAGAAACTGGTAAACATAGACAAATCTAAACAAGCACGATGTGACTAAAATAATAACAGCAATAACGAATTTGGGAGATGCAGAGGAAGTCTGGCAGGCTGGTCTAGGTGTGTTCCTAACTGTACATAAGAAGGTCTGCAGCACCCTGGCTCTCCCTCAAAGCTATTGATTTTAGGGTAGGGGTAGGGGTGGTTGATGGTGAGGTTGCTCTGGGAGGGGCCTAGGAAAGCAATCCTGGTAAAAAGAACTTCACCATAAGTGAAGCAAAATCAGAGGTCTGCAAGGGGAATGGAGAAATCTACAGTTATTTTTGGAAATCTCAATCATCAATCATCAGTAAGACAAATAGATACAAAATCCAGAGATACAGCAGACTTCAACAACATTAACAAACAACTTGAGCTAATTGACATTTATAAAACACTCCATCCAACAACAGCAGAATAAACATTTCTTTCAAACACATAGGGGATATTTGGCCAATACAGTGCATATTCTGGGCTATTAAGCAAGTCTCAGTAAACTGAAAAGTATTCAAGTTATAGAGAGTGTGTTCTCTGGCCACAGTGAAATTAAATGAGGAATCCAGTAACAAAGATTTCTAGAGAATCTACAAATACCTGGAAATTAAATAACAGACTTCTAAATAACCCATGGACCAAAGAAGAAATCAACAAGGAAAATTAGAATTATTTTGAACTGGATAAAAATGAAAACACAACATACCAATATTTTCTCTTTTATGGAGGAAAGCTTCGGGGCAGTATCAGTAGAAGCAATGAGAACAGATACTGGCCAGAAAAATCAGACAAGCATACTCTATGACACCCATTTTAGCAATCACTCCTAAGGAATCAGTCCAAGAATGAAGAATTCTACATGTGTAAAGATGTTCATTTCAGAATTGTTTATAAAAGAAAGTTTTGTTACTGTGTATGTTATGTTATTATGCATTCACCTAAGATATGTTAGATGTGGCAGAACTCGGAGCAATGCATGTGGTATACCATGAAGTGGGAAAAAAAAGTCTACAAAAGAACCAGCATAAAATAAATACAGATTTAGACAAAAACTTGTACTTGATAAGATAATGGAAGAAAAAACACGAAAAAGAAGATGCCATTGATTTTAGAGAAGTGGGATTATGACTGATTCCTATTCTCTATCTTCCCAACTTTCAGCGGGTGTAGTCATAACAGGATGTTGATTAGGGCTTTTCCTGTTGTATCAAAAGTTTGGCTAAAGCTCCACTTTCTCAAAAAGCCTCAATGAGCTGCTAGACACAAAGCAGTCCTGTGATTGTCACCCATCATCATGCGCTGGTAGATTGCATGGAAAGACTTGAAACACGAAAGGGAGATTCATTGCATAGGAGAGTATGTGTAGGTTTTGTGCTAGGGGAGAGTAATGTGCTCTTCCACTCCCCTTTCAGCGAGGGAGGGGAGTGGGTACTCCCTGGCCCCTCATCAGTCATGTGGGGAAAACTCTTAAGAGACTAGTCAGAGAGGCCACAGAGAGAGATCTGTGCTAAGCTGCATCTCTAGGCCTCCTCCCTACCCTGGACCCAGGATGCAGTTGGATAGGTGCACCATGAGGGACTGGGAGATTGACATGTGTCCCTGGAGTTTTAGGGATGAGTGAGACTGGTGCCTCCTTCCCACCTGGGGAGTACTTAAGGCAAAAGGCAGACCAGAGAGGCCCCTGAAGGCAGGGAGGGGGGCCAGCAGCTGTAGTGCCTGCACTCCCATTTGGTGTTGCAAGGATGTGTGTGTTTACCACAGGCCAGTTGGATGCTGCATGTACATCCTGCCATTTTAGATAATGCTATGAAACTTGACTTTGCTCCTTGGTCTCTGCCTTTGTGGATGTTATAGTCTGAGGGACATGCAGATAGCGATCGAAGAATCATACACATAAATATAAATCTAGTTGTTAG